TTAATTTTTACTAAACAGGAGTAAAAATTTGTTTCTCTGGTTATGTGTTTCTCATTTCATCCATATACATTTGTCTATATTTTCGAGATATCAAAAGCATATTCTTAGATGTACTAATGTTATCCACAACAACAAGGTGTAAATGGACCACCACCTTTGATTGCAGCTGTGGACAAAAAGGTAACACCTCACATAATTCCAAAGGCTAGTACACTTAGCATCAGATTGGTTGAGCTCCCACATGGGAATTTTTGAGAATTTGTAATCTTCTACAAATCTACCAAATTAAATTAATATTGTATGTCGAATGAACATGACTTAGTTACAATCACATTAGATGGGTATCACGACATTATTAGTTATAATCGGTAGAGCTGTGTGAACAAAAATTATAGAGAGTTTAATAATTAAGAAAAAATGAACTTGCTGCGAGTGATGTTATAGTAACGAATGAAGATATTAAACTAACAGGTGAATGCTTATGCTATGTTTGTTAACAAACATGAATACATGTGTTACAGATCATCTTTCTCATTCTGTCTGCAAGATATAAATCAAACAAACAAACTAGCAATTCTACTACAAAAGCATATTATACGTAAAAGTAAGAAAGCTTTTGCTTTTTGTATTTTATCATGAAGCATAATGACTGACCCAAGATGCTTTCGCCAAAAGGTCCTAGAGACTCTCTGAAGCTCGATTATAGGTATACAAATCTTGAAAAATATTACCGTTTTTACATAGTACATTTGAATCTTGATTATTAAGTAGTGTTTATTTTACTGTTCAAGATTAAGCTTTTTTTTCATTGAAAATAGAAACGCTAATTTGTAATGGACTTAAATTCAAACACAACATCCTTCACCGTCTTAGAGGATTTTTGTACCATCTTTAGCATTTCTGCGGAATCAAGCGTCTTCAACTTCTCTGCAGCATGTTTTGCCCTCAGGCCAAACGCAACTAACTTCTCTGAAAAAATAGTAATTTGTTTGTTATGTTTTTTTTTTTTTGGTAAAGATTTGTTTGTTATGTTTGTGTGCACAATATAATACTATATGATTAAGTTGACATGAAATAAAGAGAATCTCGCGAGATTCGTATTTGACAACTTAGCTTTGGATTCGGAATCAAATAGAGCCACTCGTAGCCCCATACAAATGATAATAGGATAACATGGATTCCACAAACTCTAATTCACATTTTTTTTTAATGTATATATTCGTGTTTGATTAATTCCATTTGAACATGCACTACATTATGTTATTCATCCTTGGTAATTATTGCATTTTATAGACTTTTTAATATATGCCAAATTGCCAGGAATGTATAATATACTAATTTTCAGCCCATTAGATGACAATTACACATCTGTATTTCGATAGTTTGGTTTTCAAAATATGTATATTTTCACGTTATCTAACTTTGAGAGGACCTTTGAATTAAGTGGTTGAATTTTAATGGATATGGTAAAGTATAGAAGCTCCCATCATGTTGGACCTACTAGCTATACAATCTACCACGTCATTACATAAGGTACCATTTTGAATCTGTTTTAGTTAGGTGCCCGTGCCCATCACTAATTTGAGTTTAATAAGAAAAAAACTACAAGTAAGTTTACTGCGCCTCAATTGTCTAATTGGACAATGAAACTAAAGTGCCCCAAATGAGATCATGAATCTGTCGGTAGAGAGGGTTTTTAATTTAACAAGAATTTAATCAACTTAAATCATGCATTTTTTCTTTGTTAAAGTCCATCTAAATCAAGCATTTCGGCGCTAAGCAATAATTTGCATTCTCAGATACATACCGTAGTATTAAATTTACATACCGCCATTATCCGACAACCAAACGAACACACTGAAACACATTAATTCGCATTTGTCCTAAAACGGAAATTACCGAACATGAGAATTTTGTCATCATTTTGGATTTAAGACACTTGTTCGCATACATCTAGCTGCATGTCTCGGCCTAGGGCTTTCAGATTATAATTTTGTTATCATTTTGGATTGTTTATGTTCATTTGAATGGTTTATGATCCTATTTAAGTAGACAATATATAATTTATTTTCTTTTGATTTTATGATCTTATTTAAGTAGACGATATAATGTGTTCGTTGTCTTCTAATATCTTACCTTAGATAAAAGATGTTTAGGCAATATGCATAAACATACTATATATAATTGATCATATACAATAAACATGTTTTATCTCTATAAGGTAAGATATTAGAGGACAACTAACACATTATATAGTCTACTTAAATAGGATCATAAAATCAAAATAAAATAAATTATCGATCATCTACTTAAATAGGATCATAAACTATTCATGTGTACTTATAACCAGTCACTATTATAAATACTAGGACAAATGTCACATTAGCAATCACAAATTAAATACAAATTGTAGAAAGACTAAACGATGTGTGAAAACAAGCAAAGAGTGTGTGTGTCCTTCTTAATAACAATGGTAGTGATGCTATCAATTTCTCAGAATACTAAAGGTAATAAAGATTTCGGGCTTGCTCCAATGTCAGAGGAAGGATTGCTACCACATCCAATGTCTTGTGTTAAAGACGCAACAAAAATTCCAAATTGCGTAGACTCAATAAAGCAGTTCCAGCTCAAAAATATTACTAAGGAATGTTGCAGTGTTCTACTTGGTGTTCCAGAAGATTGTTTTGGAATTATGTTTCCTATGCGTTTTGTTATTCGCGTTATGCTTAAGGTTACATGCAAACTTATAAGCCTCGACCGATGATCACATTTTTATTAATCATTTTTTATGTTATAGATAGTTCTTAATTATTTATTCTTTTAATAAAATTATGATTCATAGATAATGATTATGTTATGAATTTATATTTGCTTTGGAGAATTATTGTATGTTTACTTTTTCTACAAAATATGCTTAAGTTTTCTTGCAGTTTAGTTTATTATTTAAAAGTTTGAATTAATTTATGATCAATTTTTCAAATCTCTATGAGATGCTCTTCTATGTTTTGCCTTCATATTTATGCTATATGGATTATTGGATGCCCATTAGTTCTATAGGTGCATGCCCATTAGGCTACCTTCTCTTCATTGTAGATTTTCTTAAAATTTTACTTTGTACTCTATATAAAAAACCCTCTATTCATGAATAAGATCACTCTTTTCTCTCTTTTCTCACAACAATAAAATACCTACTGGAATAAAGGGATTTTTAAGGAGTTTAGTTGATCCTAAATGATTTTGTATTATACATATACATTATACATTATTTTAAAAGATTTTGGTGGAATTTAAGAAGATTTAAAAACATGTCTTTAGAAGATGTTGTGTGATTCTCTTGGGATTTTAAGTGATTTTATCATTTTGGGTGATTCTCAGCGGGATTCTTCTTCTCTTCTCCCTTTTCACAACAGTTGCCTATACTCTTCTCAATATCCTTTTCCGTATTACATAAAAACAGAGATAAAGTTGCTTGCTCAAGAGAAATGGCTAATGGTAACATGAAAAAGTGAACAGAATTTATCTTGTTATGTTGTTTACGCTAGATTTGAACCCAACCCTCCGTCCATCTAACGCTTAATCTTATTCTCCAGATATGAGAAAAGGTACTCAAACATTCCTTCTCATGTTTCACCTTGTTTCCGTGTCAAAGAAGGAGATCACGTTATCATTGGTCAATGCAGGTTAGGAACAGTGTATCTATCTATACTGAATAAGGTCTATCTGTTTCGAAACTTTCTAAACTTAACAAGTAAATGAACTAAGGCCGTTGTCAAAGACAGTGAGGGTCAGTGTCTTGAAGGTCATCCCAGCTGGAAGCTCTGCGTTTGGGAAGAAAGCATTCACTGGAATGTAAAGAAGTTTTTTGAGGAGGTGCAATCGAGAGAGTAGTATCTTTTCTAAGCAGAGTTTTTGACTTCGTTTACTGGCTCAGTGTCCTATCTTCTGTCATCGAGAGAAACCAGTTTTTTCCAATTGTTTTAGCCTACAAAGACTGTGTATCAAAGTCTGTCTTTCATCTTATAAAGTCATTTCTTGGACTACATAAATGAAATTTCTTTTCTTTGATAACCAAAAGGCAAAAGATATATTGAGATCTCTCCATCTAGGCATCTATGTTGCATGATTTAATAAATTTAAGAAAATGATTTTTGCAAGGAAAATAAAAAACGATAAAACAAACTCATAATTGGGTGGTCCTATCTTATAAAGCCGAAGGAGAAATGCAACAAACGTGCAACCACTATTTACGCGATATTTTGATACAAGCTCCGATCATGTAGGACCCCCCTCAACAAGCTTTATCAAGTCATCGTCAAATAAGAGAGACACTCAACATAAATGCTATAAAAGTTAATCAAGTTAAAATGAATGACACATAAGATTCTACATTTTTATACTATAAAAAATATGATATGGAGTAGTTAAATACATTATGGTTCAGAAATGTGATGTTGCTTGGAAACAGCTGCTCAACTGCGGAAAGTGAAACCACGTGAGACCATATGGCATATGCTTCTGTTTCACACTTTCATTACAGTTTCTGCCTCTCACACGCAACCATCTTTCGTTTATCCGCGTTTGCGTTTCAAAAAACCGCGATTGACAACACCTCACACAGACTCTATTGACGAATTTATATAAGGTCATCGTAATCAACGAGACTTGAGACTAATATAGTCTCTAGATGTTTGGATTTTTATAACCAATAATTTTTTTTTTTTTGGATTTTTACAAATATAAAGTCATATTGTAAACCAAAAACGCATTTTTAATTTAAATGTCCACTGCAGTTCGACCAACCGCGTTGAAACGCGAAATTCGTCAGGACCACACACGATGAGTGAAGTGGCAAAAAAGTCCGATTCTTTTGGATTCGTCCGATTAGTTTGTGACGTCATCACCCACATGGTTCATGCTTCTAATCTTCGTCAGTCTTTAAAATGCAAAATGATCTTCATTGTTTTGTGTGAAGATAATTTTCTGGGGTCAATCATCCAACAATGGCTAAAACCAGAGAGTCTTATTTCGTCAACGCTCTCCTCGCGATCGCTCTTTTAGCGATTGCCCATTTCTGTAACTGCGAAGCTGTCTTGTCTCAGAAAGAGAAGGACAAGGTCTCGAAGTTGCCTGGTCAGAATTTCAATGTCAGCTTCGCTCACTACTCTGGATTCGTCACTACTAATAAGGAATTGGGAAGAGCGCTCTTCTACTGGTTCTTTGAAGCCGTCGAAGATGCTCAGTCTAAGCCTCTTGTTCTCTGGCTCAATGGAGGTTTGCTTTCGAAAGCCTTCTCCTTTTCAGCTAAATCAATTGTGCCTCAATTCAACACCGCTGTTTCGATCACTATGCGTCTATGCGCTACTGTTTTATGATATGGATCTTGATTTTTATTTTATTTTTTTGTTTGGTGTGGATTGTCTTGTAGCTACTTCGGTTTACTGCTTGTTTTTGATTTTATTGTTGGTTTTAGCAAGATACACGTAATTTCCCTTTTTGGGTTCATGTTGATTCTTGTATGACATGAATGTCACTGTGTTGTTCTGATTCATAAAACGGAATCAAATTGGAATTTTATTTTCTAGGATTTTTTTTTAAAAGTCCTTCGATTTGGGAAAAGCATTTACTTTGAAGAATGAGTGGATCTTCTTAGCTGTTTGGTATCAATTAAGCCCGTGTCTGAGATGAAGTTTTAAACATGTTCTGTCTTCAGGACCAGGATGTTCATCTGTTGCATTTGGTGAAGCAGAAGAGATAGGACCGTTTCACATTAAGGCAGATGGGAAGACTCTTTTCCTTAATCAATATTCTTGGAACCAAGGTAAACAAAATGAGATTTGCAGAGTTATGTTTTAAGAAGAGAGAGAGAGAGAGAGATTAAACTTTTGTGCAACTTTGTTTTTTCTTGCAGCTGCGAATATTTTGTTCCTTGATGCACCTGTTGGAGTTGGTTATTCATACTCGAACACTTCGTCTGATTTGCTCAGTAATGGTGATAAGAGAACAGGTAATGCTTTAGCTGCTTAAGCTCATTGTTTTTTTTTTTTTAAGAATCCTCTTGTTGGTTGGATTGGGTTTATAGCTGCGGTTGTTATGGTTTCCACAGCCGAAGACTCGCTGAAGTTTCTGCTGAAATGGGTTGAGAGGTTTCCGGAGTACAAAGGAAGAGAGTTTTATATAGTTGGTGAGAGCTATGCAGGTAAAAAAGTTTAAAGCTCATCTTACTCTTAAATCCATTCATTTGACGTTAATGCTCATGTTTTCAAATTATGGCTTGTTTTTTAGGGCATTACATTCCTCAGCTGAGTGAAGCCATTGTAAAACATAACCAAGCTTCTGGCGATAGCACCATTAATCTCAAGGGTTACATGGTAAGAAGATTATCACCTCTTATACCTAACAGGTTATCAAACTCTTTAAGAAGATTTTTGATGAATGTGTGTGTTTGCAGGTAGGGAATGGGCTGATGGATGATTTCCATGACAGGCTCGGTCTATTCCAATATATATGGTCGTTGGGTTTTATCTCTGACCAAACATACAGCTTACTGAAACTTCAGTGTGGTTACGAACCGTTTATCCACTCCTCCAAAGCGTGTGATAAGGTTCTGGAGACAGCGGATAAGGAAATAGGTAACATAGACCAATACAGTGTCTTCACACCGGCTTGTGTTGCAAATGCCACTCAGTCAAACATGTTGCTAAAGAAAAGACGAGTGAGTGGCCTTTAAGTTTTTGTTTTTCAAATTTTTAACCGAGATGATAGCAGATTTCATTGAATGTAATGTGATCGTTATGTTTTGCTTTAGATGAATAGCCGTGTGAGTGAACAGTATGATCCTTGCACGGAGCAACACTCGAAAGTGTATTTCAATCTTCCAGAGGTTCAAAAAGCCCTCCATGTCCCACCTGGACTTGCACCATCCAAATGGGATACTTGCAAGTAAGTAAGATTCGGTTTTGGAGGAAATGAGACTATGAAAAGATTAAGGCTTGGTAACGTTTCTGATCCGGACAGCTTTGGTTTTGCAGTATGGTCGTGAATGAACACTGGAACGACTGTCCTTCCTCGGTTCTAAACATTTACCACGAGCTTATAGCTGCTGGGCTTCGTATCTGGGTTTTCAGGTCTTTTCCTCTGTTTCTATCCACTCACTTCCTTCAAGTTTTGTAACGTTTTGGTGGTTAAAAGTAGTTTTGCTGTTTGGTAACAGTGGGGACGCAGATGCTGTTGTACCAGTGACATCAACCCGGTACAGCATAGATGCACTAAACCTTCGTCCATTAAGTGCATATGGTCCTTGGTACATAGACGGACAGGTAAATTATAAACAAAAACTCAACTGAGAAAGTGTGGATATTTTTGTCTTCTTTGTTTATGAAACCTTTTTGTAACTGGAGTCATTGATTGAAACAGGTGGGAGGATGGACTCAGCAGTACGCTGGACTAAACTTTGTGACAGTGAGAGGCGCAGGGCATGAAGTTCCTTTGCACAGACCGAAGGAGGCTCTTGCGCTCTTCAAGGCTTTCATATCGGGAAATTCGTTGTCCACACCTGAGAACAGCATCAGCCGCGACATGTCTGAACTCGCTAGTGACTCGTAGCGAGTTATGATCTGCTAAAATATGTGGAATTTGGGATCCTCAGTCATTGTAAGAAAAGAAGAGAAGAAGAGAAGAGAAGGAGAGAATAATAATAAAGAGTTTAACGTGTTTTGTTACGTTCCTTGGTTCTTCTTCTGGTTGTTTGTTTGAAACATTTGTGTAGTTTCTACCATTTGTCGTGACCATACGATCCAATCCCCCTATTCCACTTCCCCACACACATTATATATGATAAAAAACTGAAAAATTAGCCATTTGGTAGAGAAGAAAGGAAAAGTTTGAGGGACATAACATAACAACAAAGAAGAAGTTTTCCTAAATTAATAAGGAATGAAGAAGGAACGAATTTCTCATTCATTATTATAAAAAGGAGTAGCTCCTCACAACTCACAAGATATTCAAAATTTATACATCCTTTAGCTTTCTTATTGTTGTTCTTGACCTAAAACCATCTCAGGCAACCATTTATACAGTGATCAAACATTAATTGCAGAAGAAGAATGACGGTAGCAATGAGCGAGCCACCGGAAAACACCATGGCAATTATCGAGAGTACTCTACATGGGATAGCCCGTCAGGGGTTGTCGTTTGAGGAGGAGATCCGGTCCATGGCCATCTGCATTCAGCTTCGTGGACAGCTCCGACCCTTATCATGCCTTTTACGTGGAGAAGCGGAATGAGTACATTGATCAGGTCCTAGATGGAACTGTTGAGCCGCCTCCCGAAATCGTTCACAAGCCTCATCCGGTGGACGATTTTGGGCCTCCTCCCACAAGGGACCAGCCTCATGTAAGGGAGTTTCCGATTCCTATTCCTCAAGAGATGTCAGTTGTGGAGCTTGGTGTTATCAAGCTCACTGCGCTGTTTGTGGCCCGGTACGGGATCGTTTTCTGGAAGGATTTGGTACGCGTCGTGTGTGTGGACCCTCTTTTCACCTTCATGAAGCGGGAAGACAGCAAGTTCGGTTTTTACAGTGGCCTTGTCCTTGCCTATCAAGGTGTCTTGAGGCCTAAGGACCGCCCTGAGGATATCGATCTCGCTCTCGACGGCTTTTTATTCCACTGCCTTGAGCAGGCACTTGATGAGAAGGCGGCTTACTTGTATGCTTTTGTGGCTGGTCTTGACTGTTTTACTCACATGGACGACAACAACCTGCTTTTTGCTACCATGCCACCACCTCAACAGCCCCTTTCATTTACGACCGATATGCCTCCACTCCCTCCACGCCGTGCTCCCAAGTATCAGTACCAGGAAGGCACCGAGCCTTCGTATATAATTCAAGAAAGGGTCACACTCAAGCAGCTTGGCATCATGAAGCTCACTGCCCTGTTTGTGGCGCGTTACGGGGAAAGTTTCCGTCGGGAGTTGATGATGAGAGCGGTTACGCTCCCTCACTTTGAGTTTCTCTTTTTCCATCCTCACGATCCCATGCCCTGCACAACCCCACCTGAGATCTGCTTCCAGGTGTTCTCTATCCTTGTTAGAGCGTACTCCGGTGTGTTAACGCCTTGCGAGAAGAAGATTGATGCATCCTCCGTTTTGGAGTGTTTCTTCCACCGTCTTCAGATTGAGAAGCTGGAGGAGGCAAGTGGCGAGAGTGAGACGGCGGCTGTGATGGATCTGCATGCGTTTGTGGCTTGTGTTGACTATGTTGCTCACATGGATGAGACTGACTACTCTGACTACGTGCCACCACCTGAGCGTCTCGCGGTGATGATGAACCAGCCAACGCATATGCATCCCGGTGTGCTTGTGCAGTTTCCACGGAGACTTGTGACTGATTACTGCAACCGTCGTCGTCCTCTTTCAAGGGGTCTGCTGGCCCTCGCTGCATCTGCATCTACCGTTCCCCCACAAGAGGAGCTTCTTGTTATTAAGCTCGCAGCGCAGTTTGCCACCCGGTTTGGCACGTCTTCTTTTACGAATGCTTTGATGGAGAGAGTGCCTCAGCTTGAGGCTCTCAAGGTAATTGACCGCTGGGGATCACTCTTCCATGGGCTCTGTGAGGTCTATTCCAGAGTATTAATGCCTCCTTCAATAGAGGAGAAGAAGTATGATGACTGTATTGCCGTGGCCATTGAGGTGTTTCTCAACTGTCTGAGAAATGGAGTGGAGACGTCTGTGGTTAGATTTGTGAACGGTGTCGACTACTTTGCTTCCGTGGATGTTGCTGACTACTCTACTGTCTTGCCTCTCCCTAAACGCCTCCCACTGACGACAAGGGAAACGCATCGTGTTAGTCTTGTAGGTGGGCCGAGGCCACCTCGTCTCTGGTCTTTACCGGCAGCAGGTACAAGTCTCGCCACAGTCACACCCAAGGAGCTTGTTGTTATCAAGCTCACAGCTGTGTATGTGGCGCGGTATGGGGTGCACATTTGTCGGGACTTGATGAAGAAAGCTGAGCTTAAATTTATGGAGCCAGGTGATAGAAGGTTCAGTCTTTATAAAGCCGCTGTTGATGCCTACTCCAAAGTAGTAAGAGTTTCCGGTGGAGGTGTTTATAAGGAGACCATTCTTGGCAGATATTTCTCGCATCTTTGTTTGAACAATCCGGGAGAGGAAGTAGTGATGGATATGGATGGTTTTGTGGAGGGTGTTGACTGTTTTGCTCAGATGGAGGATGCTCACTACTCTGCTCTCGTGGGGAACCCGCTATCAAAAATGCCTGGAACGTATTGTGGTCCACCTGAGGAACCAGAGGCAAAGAGACAAAAGCTTGACGAGTCTTTTGGTCAAGATTCCTGTAAGATAAGGGTTTTTGTTCCTGTATTAAATGAAAGGAAAGTCATTGAGATCACAGGGGATCGGTTGTCGGAAAAGGTGGCAAGTTTGAAGGAGAAGATAGCTGGGGTGATCCATATGCCTGTAAACAAACTCAAGTTAAGTGGAAAAGCAGGTTTCTTGAAGGACGACAAGTCACTTGCAGATAACCATGTTGGACCAGAAGAAATCCTAACACTGTCTTGGTTCATTTCAAGGTGGTCTGAGTTAGGGACTTAGGGTAATGCATTTTTTTGTGAATCTCTTAGCTAGTAATTTAGGCAACGCTTTGTAAGTATTCAAAGTATTTGTGAATGTCTCTTCTAATAAGCTATCTTACTATCTACAACGTCTTCTCTACAGAGACTAGAGTAATAAACTGAAGCAGTTTTTGGAGCATAGATTTCATATAAATTCCAAAGTTAAAGAGTCGTCTGTGTGACAGAAGAGAACAGATAATGACACAAACATAATGGGACTAAGATAGACTGAGAAACTGAAAAATCAAGTATGAAACTGACAAAAAAAGTGTAACATTGGGTAGGAATTATAATTTGTCTCTTATTACGGGGGTCTAAATGAAATAATATTTAACAACTTGGGATTGAATTGACCAACGAGCCCTCTTGATCCCAAATTTATTTTCTTATTTTCGCTGCTGCTTCTTCTCCTTCTTGTATCGAACTCCGAAGTTCGAATTGAAGAAACCAGTCGCTCTGGAAACTGAATTTTACGGTCGGAGTTGTACCTAAAATTTGTTCGTTCTGGTCGGAATCCCTAATTTATAAGGGTAAGGTTTCATTTTTGTTTGTTTTCCCAAAATCCCAATTTTCACGATGAGATCGACGATAATCTGAATTTAATTGAGGTTTTGAAACTCTTGGGTTTGCTCAGGCCTTGGTGCAAATTGAGATTCTTGCTAAACATTTCAAAAACATTCACTCGTCGCTTCCTTCGCCAGCGTCTCGCTGCCATTCCCATTGGTGAGTCGTATCCTTCTCTTCTGCATTCAGTTTTCTTCTCGCTGGTCTCTATCTCTCGAGCTGCTAGTTGAATTTGATGTCCAAAGGACTGATTTTTATCACATCTATAGCTTTAATCGACAGGAATTCTAGTTAATTTAGGCCTAGCTGCAGCTTTTAGGTTTATGGTTTGCGGATCAGTCCTGAATTAACATTGTGGTTCGGCAGTTTTATATATACTTCTTTCAGCTTAGCAACAGACTTATGTTTCAACTTCTTAGCTAGAGGGACACAAGCAGCAATCATGGTGGTGGTGTCTAATTCAAACCATCAAAACAAGGAAATAAACGTCAGAAGAAGAATTTCTCAAATGTATTATTCTTCGTCCCAATCGTTTTCTCTGGTCGCATCATAAGCTAGCATCTATTGGTTTCCTTTGAAGCAGCCTTTTGAGTATCAAATTGTTTTGCAGATACAATAAACGGGAAGAGGACTTTCCATCACTTAAGGACTACAATGACTACTTGGAAGAAGTCGAGTGCATGGGTTAGTTTCACTTGTTGTCCTATACATTCTGTATTCATTAAATGTGACAAAGACCAATGTGTATATATTCTCCATTTCCACAGTATTCGATTTGGTTGATGGAATAAACGTGGAGGCGATTGAGGAGAAGATAAAGAGATACTCTCAAGAGAATGCTCAACAGATAATGGTCAATCGAGCTCGCAAGGTAGTTTCCTTCAATACCTTACTGTTCTTTTCTTGGTTAGATGAGTGTTCACATGAATGTGTAGAAGAAAAGAAATGAATTTAGTGTTGTTTCATTCTCTGGTCTACAATCTCATCCTAATTCTGAGATTTGCTTTTTGGTGTACAACAGGCTGAAGAATTAACTGCAGCCTTGGCAGCTTGCAAGGCACAACAACCACAAACCGATGCTGATACGGTAAATAAGGTGTTTTGATTTTCATACTGACGAGTAGCTGAAAACTTCTGCCAGAGCTGAAACCTTTTGATTGTTTTATGTAATGTTAGTCGTCGAACCATGGGGTTACGGCTGGAACCGCATACGGTCAAGCTCCACGACCAACGGGAATGGGGCCACAACCTGTACCTATAGGAGGAGGAGGAGCAGAGCGTCAACGTTACTCTATGGAAGACGAAGCCATGTTGAGGCTTAAGGCAGAGAGAGCTGGAGGATTTTCTTTAGAGATAAGCAAGAAAAGGGCTTTGGAAGAAGCGTTTGCTAGCATTTGGGTTTGATTCCTCGAAAGATATTAGTCTTTTTTTTCGTTCTCTAAGACAGTCACAAGGAGGTCACATACTTGGTTGTCTCGTCTTGTTTTTTTTTGTTGTATAGTTGACAAACTCAGATTACCAAGAAAACACAATTTTTCGCAAGAGTGGTTGTTATCTGCTATTTAGACAAACAATTTCAGTTATTGTGATAAACAGAAGAAGCAATTTTAGTCATCACTTCAAAAAAGATATGAGCCTATCACTTAGAACTCCAATCAATTTTGTTTTCTAAGAGACTTACAATTTATCAAGAAAACAATTGACTAGAATTAGTAAGAAAATACAAACATCATCAAGAGAACACAATTTTCGCAATTTTTATTTTATTATCAGCTATTTAGACCGAGCAATTTCAGAAATTTTGGTTAAACAATTTTTGCTTCAAAATAGTTTCAGCTATCACTTGGAAATCCAATCATTTGTTCTGATCGATTACACCGGATGACTTCAATTGTGTTAATCGCCGCCTTAACTCTCAAAAAATAAGTTGGTCCCACCGAATTTGACAACAACGAAGATTTGATCTCCGGTTTACTTAACCAATTCTAGAAAACGAGAAAGAAATAAGTTTTATTATCAGCTATTTAGCTCCGTAAATTTTTATTTCAATCCTATTCCCAAAAATAATTTTTTTTTTTTTTTATAAATAGTGTTATTAATAGATATGAAACAAGAATTCAAAATTATCAATGGAGCTGGGTGGGATATATGAGGAGATGAGAATTTTGTCCACTTTAACATGTGTGAGAGAGTTTCTAATTTTCTATTGGACCGTGTTTAAACATAATCCAATTTCTAGTTTTAAAAAATTTTTATTTTGATAATTTTTTTTTCATTACACTATAAACAAAAAGTAATGTAAATGTTCGTGATCACATCCTCTTCAAGTAAATGTTCTAAGTGAGTGTTTCTTCTCCTTCCCTATTGATGTGTGTGCTATTTATACGTGATTCTAATATATAATTAATGTTTTTGTATTCACAGTACCCTATTGGAACTGGTGAGCGGTTCTCAATTGGCATAGAAGATCAAAGCCAATAAGAACTTCAAAAGTGTGGTACCTTCCTCTTTAGACTACCAGAGATGTATACTAACAAAATTAGTTGATCATTTTAATGTGATATGGCTAATTACCGAAAGGAAGAATAGCAAGGAATACATAAGCATTAAGAAGTGCAAGGTTTGTGTGTGTGTTTTTTTTTTCTTTCTTTCTTTGAAATTATGCTTTCCAGTTTTATTTTCAAGTAAACTGTTTTCGTTTTCATTTTCAGAATTGTTCATTGCCAAGTCATATCCCAGCTTTGTGCGTGGAGATGCAAACTTGGAATGGGATGGATGCACGCCAAAAGGATTCGGGGATGTATACGAAACACATGATTGCTTGGCGTATGCAACTCATTCAAATTTGTCTCACATAGTTAAAGAGGTATGTATGATATTTTGTGTTGTTTTTTTTTTGCTCGAAATATATAAGTTTGACCGACCGACTTGAACCTTGGTGCCAATTTGATCTCCGGTTTACTCTTTTTGAGTAAACCAATTTAGAAACAATGAAGAAGTAAGTTTTATCTTAGTTATGATTTTTTTTATGTATAGTTGACAAGAATCAATAACAAAATATAAACATCATCAAGAAAACACAATTTTCGCAATTATTGTGTTATTATCAGCTCTTTAGACTGAGCAATTTCAGAAATTTGGGTTAAACAATTTTTGGTTCAAAAAAGTTTCAGCTCTCACTTAGAAATCCAATCATTTGTTATGACTTCCGATCGTGTTTCCTTGTCGCGTCATCTATTTCTTTATCAAAAAATACTCTAAAAAGTAAGTTGGTCCGACCGAATTTGACAACAATGAAGATTTGATCTCCGGTTTACTTAACCAATCCTAGAAAACGAGAAAGAAAGAAGTTTTATGTTTTATCTTGTTCAGCATTAACGGAGACATTAACAGTCCGTAGGTCAATGTATGAATTGCCGGCGACTTCTTAGTTTGGGTATGAAATTCAAAATGTAATGAAGTTGGGGAATGTTTAATTACATGGTGTTAAAGTACAGTATCTAACTATCTATTGTCCATAAACTTATGAGTTCAGGCACGGATAAATCTTTTCCTATTGTAGATTTTCGGAAATTTGATTCTTAATACTTCAAAAAAATGTAAGATTGAAGCAAATGGATATATAATACGTTCTTAGGTTTCCAGTAAATAATAAAATATTTCTGTAGTTCTTCCCCAAATTGATACTTAAAGAATCACATAACGCAAGCATTGGTTACTTGCACATCCCATATCAACCTCTAGTTCTAGTCTTGATAACTTGTGGACCAAGAAAACATATGTCATATCAAAAACAGGACAAAGTTCTTCACCTTTCTCTCAGAAAAAAAATAAAATAAAAATCAATTTGGCAGTTCGTATTATACAGAAAAACGAAGAAAAATAGACTTAAATAGAAAGGGCCTGTATCAGATAGCAGTGAATAGTATTGTAAAAAAAATGATGAAATACTGGAATATCTCAAAGAAAAGAGCTCGAAGGTATTTGGTGAAACACTATTTGATTGATTAAAGCCTAATGTGACCTTTAATTTGCTTGGGGCATGTCTTCTCATCAAAACTTGATTGTGGTTTGAAAACTTCTTGAACTTAATTCTCTCATGTTTTAAAGAAATGATAAAGAAAACAAAAAAGACTGAAAGTACAAAATTAAGTGAAACTGAAGTTCCAACCCAAGTGAAGTTCAACTACGTGATGTATAATTAATTCTTTTTCATTTTATATCTATTAACACAAATTTTTGTATTAATTTGGATAGTGAATTGAGGATTTTCACGTGTACTGAATATACACACGACTCTTTGATTGAATATTGATTCGGTGAAGTAACTAAATCTGGTAGTTTGAAATTTCATGATTCTTTGCTTCTTACTCTCATAACTATTTACCTCATTGCCTCATTTTGGTGAGTTTAGCTCTGATATATCATTTTCTTTTTTTCATTTTCAGAATCTTCAAGATGATGAATGTGCAGACGTTGAGATACCATATCAATGTCCCTTGTTTTAAACAAAGAGAGGCCGTAGATTTCTAACTAGTTGTTGATGATCAACTGTTATTTACAAGCAATAGCAATAGTCCAATTCCTCAACCCGTGCTACTATATCTATAATGGAGTTTTTGTCCTCACTTCATCCGCCAAAAAATTCTACAACGACCTTCTTGGTGCAATTCCTCGCATCCCAACTACTAGTCCTAACCATTGGCCCCAACTTAAGGATCTTCGTAGCAGTACGGCAAATCAAGTGAGGCAACTAGTGAAAGCCCATCAACAAGCTAGAGACACTATGAACAACAATGGAGCGGATTCGTAATCAAGAAGAAAGAGCTCAAGAAGATATGATGAGGAATCTTCTTTTCCGTGAGGTGGAAGCTTGGAGACATCAAGACGAGTCTTAGGTTTACTAGAACCGGTAAGGTCAAAACCTAATTCCTTGATGAAATTTGTTTGCAACTCTAGTGAATGACCAAACGCTTCTAGTGGTGTACAAGGAGAAGAGCTTAGTTTTACTATTTGTAGTTCATTGTAGGTGCTGCTTGACAATTATTGAGATGATTAATCTGTCAATAATCATCGCTGATTTGAGTTATTTGCTTTGTTGTTATGGTCTACTTTAGTGTTGATTTCTTGTAAGATGTTAGTCATAACCAAATTTCTCAATACAATTTTCTTCTACTTGGGGGGTGAATCGGATTTTAAACTCAGTCAGTATAAATGGCAAAATTTGTTGCAAAGACAGGTTAAAGAATTTACTTTAGAGATGTATTTTTCCACATTGCTTCCTTTCTGGTGTTGTTTCTGTTGCAATACCTAATATTACAGAGCCCTTAATTAAGCCTTAGGTTAATCTTTAAGAGCCTTCCTAATATTACAAATCAAGGAACAAAATATACACAGGGGATAAACTCAGCCTTAAGAGATACAGTGAAGATCAATCAATCTCAACCTGGTTTTGGTCATTTTTAAGAAGGTGCGTATTCTTGGATTGCACTTGCTAACTTATCCATAGCAGCTTCTGCTGTCTCTGTCCTTATCAGAAAGGTTCTCACTTTTGCATTCTCGTTCGAAGCTGTTGGGTTGGTGAAAGAGATGAGGGTAAGAGGGATAACGCTCTAATAAGTATTGAGATATGTAGAGGTTAATGGGCCATAAGGCCTTACTCTCTAAGAGAGTATGCAAGCTAAGTCCCACATTGGAAGTGGGAAGAGACCTTAAGCGATATATAAGGGACTGAGGCCACTCCACCTATTGCCAATTGGTTTTAGGTTGGATGCCAAGAAAACTTAACATGGTATCAGAGCTTGACCCGCACACTCTCTCGACCCGGCCCAGAAAGGGCCCGACCCCCCGACCCTAGGATTTGATGGTCTGCGCGATTAATGGTTAAAAGGACCATTATCTCGAGGGAGGGTATTGAGATATGTAGAGGTTAATGGGCCATAAGGCCTTACTCTCTAAGAGAGTGTGCAAGCTAAGTCCCACATTGGAAGTGGGAAGGGACCTTAAGCGATATATAAGGGACTGAGGTCACTCCACCTATTGCCAATTGGTTTTAGGTTGGATGTCAAAGAAACTTAACAATAAGGTAACTTACACCAATTTGGTCACAGCTTTGGGGAGGAACGATGAGTTTCTTGAGGCTATTACAGTAAAACCTCTATAAAACAATAATGTTGGGACTTTGAAATTTTATTATCTTATAGAGTTATTATTTTATCGATAAAACAATAATTATTATTTTATCGATAAAACAATAATTATTATTTTATAGAAATATTCTATCAAAAACAAGAAACTTTATAGAATATATTTTTTCACTTTTTTATTCAAATTTTCCTTATACTTTGTTATTTACATATTTCATGCTCAGAAGTTCAAAATCTAGAAGAAATTATGTCTAATGTTCTTAATGGTGAAGATGAAGTTGAAGATGATGAGGAAAGACATGTGCAAGTAGTTAAGCAATTGTGGCTTCGAGAACTCTTCACAACTTTTGGCTGCAAGTTGAGAATACATCAACAGAAATTGTAGATCCAATAAGAAAAATTCGAGATGAGCTCCAACGGGAATCCAACTTTCAGAAAAGACAAACTACATTGGAGTCATATTTTACTAAATTGTCTTAGATATATATGCCTTAGTTTTATAATTATTATCTTAGGTTATTGTTGGGACTATATTTTTACATAGGAGTTTCAAAAATATTATTGTCTTATCATCTTATCGCATTATGCTATTTTTTACATTGGCCCGAGTTGGGACCGGAGAAAATTATTGTCTTATAGTGTTTATTGTTTTATCGAGTATTGTTTTATAGAGGTTCTACTGTACGTGGTCTTTGTTTGATGAGCTTGCAACATCTTCTTCTTCTTCTTCTTCTTCTTCTCCCTTGTTGATTCCAGATTCAGACAATGAAGTCTTGTATTGCATGGAATCAAGGTTTTTAGTTAATGGGAGCTAGGAGGGCACATAAACAATCTTTTGTTACTCAATTTACACAAGCCAACCTGCATATATAATCACGCATACCAACTGCATCTAAAGCTTTGATCACCCGAGATTTACATTTATTTCAATCTAACTTCACCATTGTTTAAAGCACACTGAAATTGAAAAAAAAAAAAAAATCATTAGTAAGAGCAATAGAGCATTGAGAAAATAAAATAAATGTAATTATGTAAGTAGAGAAACACAATTTTCGCAATAATGATTATTATCATCTATTCTGAGAGAGAACAATTTCATTGTCTCAAAATAATAAGCTTGTCCGACCAAACTCGGACCGTAGTGGCAATTTGATCTCCGGTTTATTCAAAATAGTAAACCAATTTGATCTTCTATCCTCCCATTATCTCTCATGAACAAAATCGTTCCGCTTAATCGTCAAGTTTTTGTTATCGATTTCGTGTGGTGTATGCAGACGTTTTGGTAGCAATCGCTGATGGGTTCGTTAAGATTGTCCATTCCCTTGGACCCATTCGACTCAAAAAGGTTTCATTTTTCCGCGAACCCATTTCAGTTTCCTGATCAATTTCCAATCTTTTCAGTTCCCAGTAGCATCTCCGCCACTAGAAAATTCAAAATCGGTTCTCCGATTAGTGTTGATAAAGTCCGAGTCGCTCGTCTCGAGACCGAAGCAAACGAGACCGAGAATGCGATCGATTCTTCTACCCAAAATGATTCTGCAAGTGAAGCTACTGTTGAGAGCAGCTCGAGTTCTAAATTGAAAGGTAGTAACAACGTCGCGAGCGGTAACAAGAGAGGGATAACGAAAGATGTAGCTCGAAAGTTCAGTTTCAGAAGAGAAAGCATCGAGCTTGAGGGTTTGTTTGTGAACAATGGAGAAATGGATGTGAACTATTCCGCAATCAAGCCCGGTTTGAGTTTAGAGCATTACAACGGTATACTGAAACGCCTTGAGAGTTGCAGTGACACTAACGCCGTCAAGTTCTTCGATTGGATGAGATGCAAAGGCAAATTGGAAGGCAACTTCGGAGCTTACAGTTTGATTCTCAGAGTTTTCTCAAGGAGAGAGGAATGGGACCGAGCCGAGGATCTCATCAGGGAGCTGTGTGGATTCCATGGCTTTGAGCAGAGTTTTCAGGTCTTCAACACGGTTATATACGCATGTTCTAAGAAAGGGAATGTTAAATTAGGCTCGAAATGGTTTCAGATGATGTTGGAGTTTGGTGTTAGACCAAACGTGGCTACAATAGGTATGCTCATGAGTCTTTATCAGAAGAACTGGAACGCTGATGAAGCGGAGTTCGCGTTTTCTCATATGAGAAAGCTCGGGATTGTGTGTGAGTCTGCTTACTCTGCGATGATAACGATTTACACGCGTTTGAGATTGTATGTTAAAGCAGAGGAAGTGATTCATTTGATGAAAGAAGATGGAGTGAAGCTGAGACTAGAGAACTGGTTAGTGATGCTTAATGCTTATAGTCAGCAAGGGAAGATGGAGCAAGCTGAATCTGTATTGGTCTCTATGGAAGCAGCTGGATTTGCTCCGAGTGTGATTGCGTACAATACTCTAATCACTGGTTATGGTAAGGTTTCTAAAATGGAGGCAGCACAGAGCTTTTTCCACCGTCTGTTTGATATTGGACTGGAGCCAGATGAGACAACGTACAGGTCCATGGTTGAAGGATGGGGCCGTAATGACAGTTACGAAGAGGCAAAGTTTTACTATCAAGAGCTGAAGCGGTTGGGATATAAACCTAATTCATCAAATCTTTTCACTTTGATCAACTTGCAGGCTAAATATGGAGATAATGATGGTGCTGTTAAGACTATTGAAGATATGGTGAGTGTTGGATGTCAATATTCGTCGATCCTTGGCATTGTTCTTCAGGCTTATGAGAAGGTTGGGAAGATTGATGTAGTGCCTTATGTTCTCAGAGGCTCTTTTCATAACCATATCCGTTTAAACCAGACTTCTTTCTCTATTTTGGTGATGGCTTATATCAAGCATGGTATGGTTGATGATTGCTTGGCTTTGCTGCGAGAGAAGAAGTGGAGAGACTCAGCGTTTGAGTCACACTTGTATCATCTGTTGATTTGCTCTTGCAAAGAATCTGGTCGAGTTAATGATGCTGTGAAGATATACAACCATAGATTGGAGTCTGATGAAGAGGTAAGTCTGCACATTACATCCACAATGATTGACATTTACACTGTGATGGGCGAGTTTGGTGAAGCGGAGAAGCTTTATTTGAAGCTGAAATCTTCTGGAGTTGTGTTGGATAGGATTGGATTCAGTATTGTGGTGCGGATGTACATGAAAGCTGGATCTTTGGAGGAAGTATGCTCTGTTCTGGAGATCATGGATGAGCAGGAAGACATTGTTCCGGATGTGTTCTTGTTCCGCGATATGCTTCGGATATATCAGAAGTGTGGTCTTCAGGACAAACTCCAGCAGTTGTACTACAGGATTCGGAAGAGTGGGATCCATTGGGATCAAGAGATGTACAATTGTGTTATAAACTGTTGTGCACGTGCTCTTCCGCTTGATGAACTCTCAAGAACCTTTGAGGAGATGATTCGATATGGATTCACTCCTAACACAGTCACGTTTAATGTGCTTCTTGATGTATATGGTAAAGCCAAGCTCTTCAAAAAGGTCAACGAGGTTTTCTTGCTGGCGAGAAGACACGGAGTTGTGGATGTGATATCTTACAACACCATCATAGCCGCATATGGACACAACAAGGACTTCACAAACATGTCGTCGGCGATCAGGAACATGCAGTTCGACGGGTTTTCTGTGTCTGTTGAAGCTTATAACTCGATGCTGGATGCGTACGGGAAAGATAAACAGATGGAGAAGTTCAGAAGCATTTTGAAGAGGATGAAGAAGTCTAGTTGTGAGACGGATCGTTATACATACAACATCATGATTAATATCTATGGAGAGCAAGGATGGATCGATGAAGTCACGGATGTGCTGAGAGAGTTGAAAGAATCTGGACTTGGTCCTGACTTGTGTAGCTACAACACGCTGATAAAGGCGTATGGTATTGGGGGTATGGTTGAAGAAGCTGTTGGGTTGGTGAAAGAGATGAGGGCAAGAGGGATAACACCTGATAAAGTGACTTACACCAATTTGGTCACAGCTTTGCGGAGGAACGATGAGTTTCTTGAGGCTATTAAGTGGTCTTTGTGGATGAAGCAAATGGGTATATAAACAGAAGAGTTTTCCAAAAACACACAGCTGATTCTTTTTTTTGTATTAATGTTTTTATCTATAGTTGCTGCTGCTTTTGAGGCATGCTTGTACAATCTGATCAGTGATCAAAAGTCAATGAATAAGTCTCAGTCTTTCAGAGTGTAGATTTGTTGAAAATTGATTCTTGATACGTCAAAAAATGTAAGACTGAAGCAAATGGGTATATAATACGTTCTTAGGTTTCCATTAAATAATAAAAGATTTCTGTAATTATTCCCCAAATTGATACTTAAAGAATCACATAACGCAAGAATTGGTTACTTGCATCCCATACCAACCTCTGGTTCTAGTCTTGATAACTTGTGGACCAAGAAAACAACCTGATAAACTGTGAGTCTTTTGCATTTCTCTTGAATAGATACTTACACAGACAAAAATAAAGCATAGAGGAATTCACAAGATGATGTTTGCTGTAAATGTCACTCAAAAGACAATCTACAACGAAAATTTGAGAGCTTTATACAAAGAGTTACATACATATTTCAACTTTAAGCAAGCAAAAACAGAACAAAAATGACAAACACTCAAAACAATATATATTTCACCTTTTTCTCTTTGTCTCATAGCCAGAAGTAAAGCATTGCCTGTTTCAATAATTATGTCAAATGTTTGTAAGTACTAATAAAAGACTGAGATACAAATTTATCATTTAATAAATCCGAATGCATATATACCTCTTGAACAGAAACAATGGCTGGGTCAATCCAATCTTGTACATTCTCCATTGTCTTCAACCCCTTTACTTCAGATGATTGCACAGAACTTATCCTCTCCTTCACTTCACTCACTTGAATAATCTCTTCCCGCTTAACCACTTCACTAGTCTCAGGCTCTGTCTTCGTTTTTCCCCTCTCAAGCTTCTCTACTCTCTGTCTCAAACGCTGCAACTCAGCTTGATACTCTGCACGGTTTCTCTTACCACTTCTGTCTCTTGTCTGCTTAGATGGTTTCTTTTCCATCTTCGTCTGCTTTGACACCTTTATCACCATAGTCTCACCACTTTTACTTTTTGCTTCCCCATTTCTTTTTGTGTCTTCTTGAAAGTTTGATGAGCTTGCAACATCTTCTCCTTCTTCTTCTTCTTCTCCCTTGTTTATTCCAGACTCAGACAAAGAAGTCTTGTACTGCATGGAATCTCTAAACTCTGTAAGCTCTTTCACTTTCTCGTCCAGTTTCTTGATCTGCTCCCAATACACATCTAAAGAATCCTTCTTCTCAAGTCTTCCTGATTCCAAGCTCTGCTCAATCACTTCCTTCTCCTCGGGAACCGAAAGATCGTCGAACAATTCTTGAGACGGTGTTTGAGATCTATCACACAATGACAAATCCTCTTGAAGGTTAACATCTTCTAAGCTAGTGACATCGCTACACCCCAAGCTTAGAAGCTGGCTTTTATAAGCTTCGACTTGGTACTCAAGAGCATCGACTTCGATCTCTTTCTGGCAGATCAAATCCTCCAAAAGCGCAAAGGACATCTCAGCGTGAGACATTTGCTCTTCGACCATTCTCTTGTACTGACCAGCTTCCATAGCCAGCTCAGCTTTCTCTCCTTGCAGCTTGAGAATCATTGTCATGGCCTCGCTAGCTGACGTGGCTGATGCTTCTCTCTCTGCGTTTAGCTCATCTTGGAGCCTCTCCACTACTTCTTTGCGCTCGTAAAGAGCGATTCTTAGATCGTTTGTCTCGGCTCCTGGAATCTTAAAGCTTCGGCTTCGTTCCATGTTTCTTCAAAACATTCAAAGAAAACAGATTTATTAGAGACGAAAGATTCTGTAATAAATTCAAAAGTTCAGGACAAGAATTAACCGCAATAAAGTTTTATTTTTCCGACAAAAAAATGTGCAGCAGAATCTTAATGAGGTGAGAAAGAATCTCATTGTACCAGAAAAGTTTCGGAATTTGATTGATGAACTTGCAGATCCTATGAGAGTGATGACTCGTTTAATCTCTTGAACAGAGGAAATGCTTCAAATAGAAGAGATGTATATTTCTGGTGAATTTACAAAGAAATATTTAGCAAATCGGAGTGGAAAATAATTATCTAAAAAGGGAATATAATCACTCACATAAGACACACCAGACAAATATCATTATGGTTCCGTATAGACAGATTACGAAAATATCTCAGATCATAAACACGACAAAGTTCTTCACCTTTCTCTCAGAATAAAAAGCAATAAAAAAATCAATTTCGCAGTTCGAATCCTATAGGAAAACGAAGAAAAATAAACTTAAAAAGAAAGGGTCTGTATCAAGAAAACAGTGAATAGTCTTGAAAAATAATGATGAAATGCTGGAATATCTCAAAGAAAAGAGCTGGAACGTATTTGGTGAAACAATCTTTGAATGATTAAAGCTTAATGTGACCTTTAATTTTGCGTGGGGCATGTCATCTCATCTTTGATTGTGGTTTGAATACTTCTTCTACTAAATTCCTCTTAATGTTTTAAAAGAAATGATAAAAAGGAAACAAAACGAGAAAGTGATTCAACGGCTCATTACAGGGCCAAGTACAATATTAGCTACGGTGGGACCTACGGCGGCCGACTTCATTTCTGCCACGTGTAAGTAAGACACAGGTCTGAGGTTTTGATTTGTGTATACACACCACCAATAAACGATTAAAGACGAATTCAGAAGATAAATCCCAGCCAGAATATATCACTGAATTAAGATGAATACAAACTACATTGCAATAAAGATCTTCATATAATGACACTATGAGTCGTCTATGAACACATTCCTTCATCTTCTTCCCTCTCAGCATCCATCACCACCACCTTCCCCAATTTCTTTGGTGTGACCCACAGATTTATGAGATTCGCTGATCCTTTTGTTTTACTAAGGCCTTGAGAAGACTGCAATTGATTCCCACTCTAAGCTACATATCACATCCTGCATAATCCAATGTACCAGTTTAAGAAAACACACACTTGATAATAAAAGTAAACTAGTAGGTTGAAACAGAATTTGGTGATGTTATCACCTGTGGATTTTGTCTGTCGATGTCAAAACTGTTAATGGCACAAGGTTCAGCAAGAAGCTCAATCGGTTCTTCTCCTAAGAAACGATGGCAAGCAAGGACAAAGTAAAAGGAAACATCAGTTTGGTAATCTCATACAAGAAAGAAGAAGAAATAAAGTGGTGGAAAGGCCTAACTAAGCACCTTGCTCGATGACACCAAGGATTCCATCTTCAGAGCAGGTCATAACAGGGAGAATCCTTGAGGACGAGATGTTGGATGTTGTGTACGAGTCATACTGAACCTCCCACACCTCACTCTCAGACAGAGGGTTGTTTATGCTCTCACTTACTCCAACACCAGAAAGAACGATTGGCTGCTTTGGCCACCGAAGATCCCAAGCGAAAACAGTACCTGAAGAACCTCCAGCCTATATACACCACAAATCAAGATAAAGTTATGGTTACACCGAACTTTTGTTTGGTGACAAGGTGGTTTAACATTATAACACAGGACATAACCAAATGATTTACATTCGACTCAGAAGAAAGAAATGTAAGGTTACTTTTTCCAAATATCAGCAGAAAGGACAAGATGAAGTTAAATTACCAAAAGCTAAGTACTCAAAATTTGGCAAAGATTGAATAATTACACTAGAAATTCACATATTCATCAATGCATGGTGAAGAAGATGCTCAAACTACAAACAAATATTAGCTTAAATCAAATTTCTAACACACGCCATACAAAAATACTTACAATGCAAGTGTGCTTTCGAGATGGATGAATGTCAATAGAGTGGACAATTGCAGACGTTTTGCCTTGAAACCTGCAATGTTATCATCACATGAGACACAGAATATGCTATTCAATCAAAGGATCCACCTTTCCTATTCTCAATTTCACTTGCTAAACAGCTCACAAAAATCTAATGATAAGAGTGTGATCTAAGTTCTAACCCAAATGAACAAACTTTCACGTTCTATATCATTGCCGAGCAAACAAGCCAAGAATTCATAACCATTAAGAGAAATGAAAACTCACCAGTTTCCTTTGAGCTGCGAGACAGCCTCACCAGGCTTCCTCTGATCCCACAATTGCAAACCAAAACCATATCCTCCGGTGACAAACTCAGTCGGAGACGCCCATTTCACAGCTCTATAAGCCACCAGCCCGTTCCCATCAAAGACCCTCCTGTGTCTCAAACCTTCACCATTCACAATCGTCACTACATTCACTCTCCCATCTTCCCCAACGGTCACACACTCTCCTGCCTCCCTCCAATCCACACCTTCCACGCGTCCAACATGGAACCTCTCTCCCTCCGCCGCGTAAACCTCCTCAATCGCAGCTCCTTCCACCAGATCAGCCATCAGAACGTGGAGAGAACCGGAAGACGTACCTACCGAGACCACAGGTTTGAAGGAACCGCCTCCACCGCCGCTTCCGGCGACTTCCAGCGACGAGACGCGAGAAGGTGAAGTCCATGAGGATAACGACTCGACTAACGGGTTATTGGTTGGGTTCCCTCTTGGATTCGGGTCGAGCGACTGGATCTCGATTGACGAAGAGTCAGAGTCCGGGTCGTAGAAAGCTGCTGCGAAGAAACGATTCAGAGCAGAAGCTTGTGGAAGCCATCTCACTCCATCTACGTACTTCGATTGCGGTATTCTATGGACTTGGAACGCATCCTGCATCTCCATGGCTCCTGAGGTTTCTAGGGTTTTAGGATCAATCTCCACTCTCCGGGAACAAACACAAAAACAATGGTGGGAAAATTAGAAGCTTCAGAAAATGTAAGGTTATTTACTTAAATACCCTTTTATGCTATTATCACAAAATCAACATTTCCCTTATCTTCTTCTCTCTCAATTTCTCTATCTTTGGTTTATGGGAAAGTGAAAATGCTGACCTTACAAGTACAACAACACAGTAGCTTCATCTCTCTTAACGACAAGCTCAGAAGTTTTGGCAATGTCTTCAAGAGAAGTGGCGGCGGATTAGTAGTCACTGTAATGTCCAAAAAGAGAGACTTTCCGGAGAATTCAAACGAGAAACGACCCGTTTTGCAAATCAAAGTCCCCAACACAATCCTCGCTCGATCTGCGATCGCTGTTCTTGGTTTAGGATTCGTCGATGCAGGGTAAGATTTTTTCAACCCTCAAAGCTCAAAAACAAGGCGCGAAAATTGCAGAGTAAATAATGCTTTAATATCTCTTCAGGTATAGTGGTGATTGGTCAAGAATAGGTGCCATCTCCAAAGAAACAGAGGAATTGTTGAAGATTTCTGCTTTTCTTGTTGTTCCTCTCTGTATCTTTCTCGCCTTATCATTTTCCAATGAATCAACTGATTAGAGGTTCCTTGATAATGGAATGTAGAAGCATAAAGCTCAATACTTGCAAGAGAAAGTGACTGATTACTGTGAATGTTGTGAGTGTAGTAGTACATTGCGAATCCGCTTCATCTATGGGACAAATACATTGAATGAAATATAACTAATAAAAAACGTTATACAATGTGCTGCTTTCGGATTTTTCAAAAGGCACAAGAAGGTGAAGCCCGTCGGAAATCCATGATGAGAAGAGAGGCAACACTATGAGCAAGAGCTCCTAAGACTACGAACACATGGAATATCTGATGGCTATGTCCTGCAATATCAAAAGCTCCAGGCTTCCATCTCTCTGGTATACGGCTAACGTAAAACCCTGCTCCTGTTGCGTACAGCACAGCCATCGCAAGCTCGTAAACGAGAGCGACAAGCACGTTAGGATGATCTTTATGAAGGTAGAGAACGTGTGAGGCGGGTATGACGCCGGAGAATCCCATTGTTAGGAACAGGGCTGCTCTGAAAGATCTGAAACGTGGAGCTGAGAGAGCTGGAGAGAGGAGGGTGAAGATTGCGAGGAGGCCGAGGATGGAGATGGAGGAGAGGTAGAAGAGACGCCAGTGAGTGTGGCAGGAGAAGGCGTAGTAGATTGGTGCGAAGAAGGAGCAGACGATCATGAGGGAGATTCCTGCGTAGTCTAGTCGCCAGAAGAAGAGGTTGAATTTTCTTGAGTGGCATGCGAAGAGGTGTGACATGGAGCTGCAGATCAAGCAGATCATTGCTCCTGATAGGAAGACGATCCATGGCCATTTTGGAATTGTTTCGTAGTCCACTTCTCCTGATAAGTTCAGGAATGAGCTTGTGTGTGTCACGTTCGAGTCCTGCCAAGAGACACACCACAGAATCATGAGTTTAATTTGACAAAAAGACCAGACTTTTTAAGTTGAGTCCGTTGAAAAATCTTGTGATTTGGGAAAGTTAGGTGAGCACAGAAAAAAAAAGTCTGCAGAAACTGACAGTGAGAGAAAATCCAAGAAAGATTAGATACATCAACTAGTGGGAGGCAAGTTACAAGAAGAATCTTACGTGAGTTGTGCAAGAAAAAAACAAACTTATTTACAAGGAATCGTAAGTCCATTGTTTCCTTATTTCCCGTAGAAAAAACATGTGATTTCAAAGTAGGTAGAGCATAAAGCAAGTCTAGTCAGAAACTGAAGTATCTATTAACCAAAGGTTAACAAAAAACAATTAGATAGAGAAAATCCAAAGAAGGTCAGAGAGATCACGTGGTGGGTGAGAGTATCCACATAATTAGCAACTACAGCAAATTGCAATCAGAATATCATATAGTATTATGACTTTAAATCTTAATTATGAGCACAAATGTTTACATTTTGTAATGGAAAGTGACTTGCATGTCTACTTCTATTAGAATAAACAATGTCAGAGGAAGAAAAAAAGGTTTGAGAATCTTACGTGATACATAGTATGATCGCTGGAGAAGTTAAGATCTTTTGCCATTGGCATTGACGGCCATGGCCAGCGAATTGTTGCTCTGTCATTTGGACCCACACGTTCCAGAAAGGTTGAATTTTAAAATCCAGAAAAATAAAAGGAAAATGGAACTGAGAAATTACGATTTTGACCTCGGAAATTTCTTACCCGGAGAGCATGCTAACGAAGCCGGCGAGGCCGACCTCCGTCGTTTCCATGGAGCTCACCACCATCATCCAACCGAATATCAGAAACCCACCCAAGTGCCTGCCGATTTCAACATTTCAAAATTCAAATCTCCGAAAACCAAAAAAAACTCATAAACGCAACAGAGGAAATTGAAAATTGGTTGATTTATAAACATACGTCCAGATGTTGAGAGTCTCATTGTGCCATGAGAAAGCGCTGAGGAAAGTCTCCTTGAGAGACCATTCACATCGATAGTGATTGTGTATGAACTCGTTGTCCTTGAGATACCGAGGCAACTCCTCGAACTTCATCAATCTCGTCTCACACCCCTTCTTTCCGCCGGAATCCGAGCATTTCCCATTTCTCACCGCCGTTACCTTCGAAGAGTCCCTCACCGTCCTCCGTTTCTGCATGATTCCCCAGAAGAAGAAGAAAAAGGAGGAGAGATCGAGGATCTGAAAACCCCGGCGAGATTGAGCTCCGGAGAGGTGAATCCGGCGAATCAATCACCGATGCCTTCTCTCTCTCCGATCTCGTCAATGTTCAGATTCTGTTTAATCTTACTTTTCCGATGCTCATGGACGCTTAAAGCTCCTACTTATACGGAGAAGAAACCTTTTTAAATTTTTAAAACGAGCAAGCTTCGTGACTTTCGCGTCCCCGTCTTGAATAAAAACCTACGTGGCGGCTTTGACCGGTCCTTGTTGATACGTGGCGCTTAACTATTGAGTAAGCTGGTTTTGCTTAGTGTGAGGGGGATGCAGCTGATTAATTTTACCCGCCGTGTCAGTTTCAAACAAATAATAAAGTTACAGTTGGAAGGTGAGAAATGCATAAATTGTGGTGTCTTAAACAACATTTTAGTCTTTCTTTTCAAAGTTACACAAGTGGAGTGACGTAGTTAATTAAATCCCAAACCTTGTTTTTACCCTAAGGTTTTTCATTTATTGCCTCACCTAATCTACATTTCTAGAAACCAACTTGTGATTAACTCTAAATTTCTTGTCGTATTTGAATTTAATCATAAATAATCATATACCAAAGTTCCAGAGTTGGCAGACTTTCAAGTTTCGTGTTCGGGCCAATACTACTGAAAATAGACTTGGAATTCTACTAAAGTTTCACTCTGATTAATTGGGATTCGGTTAAGTTAGCCATTATTGAGTAATTAAATTTCATGTTTATTATTAAGCATTTATTCGTTTCCGTATGATTTATATATACGAGGGAGTGTCTATGAAAACAATCAAACTATGGGACAACGAGGTAGACTGAAAGAATAAGTAAAATTCGAATTGGTTACATGGCATAGGATTCTCAAAGGAGGATTGATTCATAAGACAAAACAACAAGTGCATCTCAATTGTATTGCATGATGAATTCATTATTAAATTAAACTGATTATTATTATGAAATACGTCGAACATTTTAGTATAGTTTTTTTTTTTTAAATGAATGAATGGTTCGCTTACCGAAAAAATACAGTTGGCCCAGAATTTGATGTTGGCATGTACTTACTTGACAAAATACTAAAGATGGTTGTAAACGTCTGAATAATTATTTTAAGACCATCACCTTTTTTTTTCCCTCGATGACAACCTAAGATTTTCATAAATGACATCAATTGAGATATAATAAAAAGCTGTCAAAAAAGGAAAAAAATATAGATTATTATAGAACAGTTTCATGAAAATGTCGACATCCTTTCTTTTGGATACTACGTGAACAACACAAGCACATTAAGCCCCTTGAGAAACATTAAAAAAAAAAAAAACAAGAATGATACGGAATCGAAAAATGTTGTATAAAATATAGCTTTTGAAGTACGAAAAAGAGCTGGACAGATTGTATAAGATTGGACAGTAAAGTTGATGAAATCCGATTCCTCTCAATCGAGAATGATGGCGACATTTCAGTGATCCTAAAGTATGGAATCCGACCAAAACACTTTTACTGCAGACGATCCGAGGGATTATAAAAAGTTAAAAACTAAGGCGAGTGTTCAGGGATTATATCATAAAATCGAAATTAGTTTATACTTAAGGCGTATATAATATAACTAAGTTGTCGTGCAGTGTTTTAAGAAAAAAAGGTTGTCGTGATTCGTGAAGAGAACATATATATCATCTAGTTTGCTTTGTTGGTCCGTTTTTCATCTAAATCGGTTCTTAGACGCCATGAATTTCTTGCGACGAGGATTAAGAATAAACAATACATGGAAGAGTAGTTAACTTGAATATTATTTATAGATTAATCATATCTTATTTTTGTAAAGTGTATAAAATAGGTGAATATTGCGGTTACGTGGTAAACTGAAAACTTTAAAACTATATTTTAGTAGGTTTTGCTGTTAAGTACTCCTCCAGCAAAATAGAGTTTGAAAAATCAATATGCATACAAAAACTGTGATATAGATTTTGTGTTAGAAGGGTTGAAAAATGTTTTGGTATATTTGTTGTAAACTATAGTTTAACAAAGCAATAGACATACATATGCTGTGATATGTAGATTTTGTGATAGATTTCGACAATATTTTACGGTATTTTGGATCATAAAAGTCTAATACCGCACACTGCACAAGTGCAATTGGTCATCAACTAATTTTGGGTTAACAACCGGTTTTTTGGTTTCTTTTGTTTGTTTTATTTTTTTAATTGTAGGGTTTCTTCAACGTTTGCCCAAGTTTTGATTAAAGTTTTTGTTTTTGGTTTTCAGGTTTTGTTTGAGTATAGACAACAGCATATCCACTAACCTAACCTATAAAATCTCGATTAATCACGTTTGTAGATATAACAATAATAATAATATTTCAAGCTTTCAATACGATACCATTATGTATGATAAACTTTCAAATACAGAGTTCCAATTTTATCATATGTACCCCAGTGGACAAAAACATTTACAGCTTGTATAAACTTTTTTTCTTAGTTCGTGTATAAAAACAACTAGAAATTGTATACAATATTTACCTTTAAAAGTTTAATAACCCTATATGACAAGAACTTTAAAGGTAAATATACAATTTCTAGTTGTTTTTATACATGAACTTATATACTTAGAAAAAAGTTTATTCAAGCTGTAAATGTTTTTTTTTTTGTTTGGAACAATACAAGCTGTAAATGTTAATTGGTTTTATTTGCACAAACGGTCTAATTACATGGAAATACAATCACTAATTATTTCAGATTACAAAAAACTGAGTAATTTTACTGAGACACAACTACAGATATCTAATTCGGTTGAATTGGACAAAACCAAACTAAAATCACATGAAAACATGTCCCCAAATACGATCCAAAATGTATTTGCTTGTAACTAACAAACCGAACTCTAAGTCAGATATACCTCCAAATCATGGTTTGGTTAATTTTTAGCAGTCCGTTACAGTTCGGTTTTAACTTTTAACACATTTGTAATTGCGTGTAGCACTGTTATGATGGGGTGGTGGTAATTGGGTTAGATATTGTAATATATGAGCTTTTTAGGTGTTGGAATAATTTAACAAGTATATTAAAAAAGTTTGGGGCTTTTACGGAAATACTTGAAATAAAAAGACCTTCTCTATCAATTTCGAGAAAAATGATAAATCGTCGCGACGCTACAAAATCTCCCGCCTTAATTTCCCTCCATATTTTTCATTTCGCTTTCTTTCTCATTTAGCTTTCTTCTTACCAAACTAAACTGTCTTTCTTCTTCTGCTCTTGGCTCTACACAGTTAAAGATGTTGGATCTGGGAACCATGTCTATGTCCGCATCTGTTGCTCTCACCTGTTGCACTACTTTTCTTCCGGCGGGTTCAGGGCCTGAATTAGCCAAATCCATCGAGTCCCCGGAAGACGTAGCCGGAGATTGCAACCAGAAAGAGATGCCGAAGCTTCCCCCACATGAAAAGGTCAGAGATATTAGCAATGCTAATGGAATCTCATCTTTGATCGGAAAACAGAATTCGCACAACAGAGGCAAGAAAGGGCTGGCTCTGGAAGATCACGTGAGAGATTGGGTCAAGAGGAGAGTGGATTCCGGAGTTTCGGAGTCGAAATGCTTCCTCCCTTTTCTAGTTGGAGCCAAGAAAATGGTATTTTTTTTTTTTTGTGATTTCTGTTTAGATATTATCAATCATTGAATTGTTTCATGTGAATTTCATCAATTTGCTGTCTCGGAATCCATGAAAGATCAGAGTTTCGTTCATTGAATAGTGACGTGTCAAGTTTTCATATTTCTTACTATATGGGATTGGATTTGGTGTGTCAGGTTGAGTGTCTTGTTTGCCATAAGCCGGTGAATCCAGGAGAAGAGTTGCTGTGTACTGTTAACAGCTGTCAAAGCGTTTATCATTCGTCTTGTGCGAAGGAAAGTCTCGGCACTTCTAAATTGGCAAAATTTAAGTGTCCTCAACATGTAAGATCCTCCTCAAACCATTGTTTTGAATCAAAAAGCATATCATATATGTCTAGGGATTTAGTAAAGAAACTGTGATTAGGTAGAGAACTGAGTTTGGAATAGTTTTGATTGTGTGGTATCTGATAGAATGGAGTAATGCAGGAGTGTTTTGTCTGTAATAAAAGACCTCAATGGAGGTGTGTGAAGTGTCCAATGGCTGCTCATGACAAGCATGCTCCATGGTCAGATGAAGTGATTCATCTGAAAGACCAACCAGGAAAAGCAGTTTGTTGGAGGCATCCAACTAATTGGCGACTAGACAGAAAGGTTCGTGTTTTCAAGTTTATGATTTGTGTGGTTTCCACACAGACTCACTCACAAGACTGACACTGTTGTTTCTTGGTTGAGCAGCATGCAGTTGCACAGAGTCAAGTGGAGGTCAGTGTTTCTCTGGCACATGTGAAATTAGGTTTTGTAGTGATTCTTACAAAAAAGGGAAGAGATCGGAAAGCTGGATATTGTTGTTACTATGCAAATAATTTCATTTACTTTCATATTCAGGATGTCTTTAGCCAGTTGCCTTTGCCGTACGTTGAAGAGGAGTTCAAGCTTGACATGACATGGAAAGAATCTGGTGCCAAAGAGGAGCTGCCTTCTTATGTTCACATTAGGCGCAGTATCCTTCATAGTTTCCATACATAGCTTTCTTTCAGTTCGTTATTAGTGCCATAGCATGATTTTTTTTGTTATCTATCCTTGACTGAGTTAAAGATGTTTACTTGGTAAAGAAGAAGCGGGACGATGCTAATGATGGTGTTGGATGCACAAACTGTGGCCCTATTTGCTGTAGAAGCTGTGTTTGCAGGTATACTCATTGATTAAACCATTTCAACCTCTTCTCTGTGGAAAAGAAATGAAATTTTGTCTGAATCATGTTCCATCTTTGAAACAAAAATGGCAGGTCTCAATGTATAAGCTGTTCAAAGGGATGTGGATGCCCTGAAACTTGTAGCAACAGACCATTCCGCAAAGA